TTGGTGTGGGCCTCTTGGGGTTCATCTTATTTGGGACTCTCTGTATTTCCTGGACTTGTATGTCTGTTTCCTTCACCAAGTTAGAAAAGTTTTCTGCCATTATTGTTTCAAACAGGTTTTCAATTTCTTGTTCTCGCTCTTCTCCTTCTGGCACCCCCAAGATGCGAATGTTGGCACGCTTGAAGTTGTCCCAGAGGCTCTTTACACTATCCTCATTGTTTTGGATTCTGTTTTCTTTTTGCTGTTCTGATTGGGGGTTTTTTGCTTCCTTATATTCCAAATCGATGGTTTGCTTCTTGGATTTACGTACTCTACTATTGAGTCTGTGTAAATTATTCTTTATTTCAGTTAATGCCTCCTTCAATTCTGACTGTGCATCCATCATTTCTGACTGGTCCTTTTTTATGCTCTTGAGGTCCTCACTAAGTTCATTGAGCATCCTTATAAGAAGTATTTTGACTCAGCATCTGTTAGGTTGCTTATCTCCATTTTGCTTAGTTCTTTTCTTGGGGTTTTGTTCTGTTCTTTCATTTGGGACCTGTTTCTTTGTCTCCTCATTTTGGCTGCCTCCTTTGTGTTTGTTTCTGTGTATTACTTAACAAGCGGTATGGGGCTATCTGAGACCAGATGCTGCTTGTTTGAAAGAATTTAAGAAAACCTGAAGCAGGATCCAAGACAGACCAATCCTATGGTTAAGCAAGTGGCAACAGCTTGGGTGGGCCCGAAAGTTGGGTGGGGCGGGGCCTCAGGGAGTCATCAGGGCGGGGCTACCAGTGTGAGCCAGGTTGCTGGAGTCCCAGATATGGTGACTGTCTGCCGCCCCAGGGAAGGGCTCAAAGGAACAAAGGCCTCTGACAGCATGTTAGTCCCGGAGAAAGCCCCCTCTCCGGCCCTCGCTCCAGTGCCAAACAGCTGTTTTTCCCTGTATAAACCTAGTGCCCCTCGAGCTGCCTCCCCTCCAAGTTTAGAGGGAGTGAGTTCGATAAGTCCGTGCGCGGGCCCTTTAAGGAGCTGCCTGGGGCTCCAGCTGCTTCAGCTTCCCTGAGCCTCAGTTCCTGCTGGTTTTTCCAGCCAGAAGTTATGGGGATTCTCTTCCTGGCACTGGAACCCTGAGCGGGGCACCTGGTGTGGGATGGGGACCCCTCAGTCCTCGGGAAGGACCTTCCCAGCCGAGGTATCCTCCTGATTTTTATGTGCCACACGTGGGTGTGGGACCAGCCCTCGCGCCTCCACCCCTCCTACCAGTCTCGATGTGGCTGCTGGTTTAATTTAGTAGTTGTAGGACTTCCATTCAGTTTGATTTCAGGTGGTTTTGAATGATGGTTGTTCTGTAGTTTAGTTGTAACTTTGATGTAGTTGTGGGAGGACGCGATACCGCATTTACCTACGCCACCTTCTTGATCGGAAGTCCCGATGCTTTCTCTTTTAGACTTCTCATTTTATTCATGTATTGTTTTCCAGATTTCATTGAATTGTCTTTCTGTATTTGCTTGTAGTTCATGGAGTTTCCTCAAAACAGCTATTTTGAATTATCAGCTAAAATGCAGAACTCCATGTCTTTGGGATTGCTACTACAATGTTAGAGTGATCCTTTGGCGATGTCATGTTTTGTTGATTTTTTCATGTTCCTCGAACGTTTGTGTTGCTGTCTTTACATTTGAAAGAACAGTCACCTCCTCCAGTCTTTACTAACTACCCGCTTCAATGCTCCCAAACTTGTATTTTTGCTCCAGTGGTTTGCTAAAACTTCTGTGCTGGAAACAGACTTCCACAAAGACTCCCTCACCTGTAGGTGATCGTCTAACACAATGTTTTCCAGGGGATCCTCGACCATAGCTGAGAGTGGCTAGAGTAAGTTCATGGACTACTGCAGTGTCCACAGTTAGAACCAAGATCTGTATGCCTACTGCCCATGTATGTGCGGGTAAAACTCCTCTTCTTGGCATAGGTGCTGGACCCCACAGCTCCCACAAAACACTTTTGTCCATGGATGAATGCCAAATTATTGTTGTTGAGGAGGAGACACAAACAAGGGAAATCTTATTCAGCCACGATGCTTCCTACATATTAACAGTAGCATACCATATACAGAGTTCTACATCTTGCATTACACAGCAGTACCTAGAGCTCGAGCTAATCTTAGTAACAGCTGCATCCTATTGTAGGAATATGACATAATTTAATTAACCTGTTTTTTAAAAAATTGAGATATAACTGACATATAACATTGTATTAGTTTCAGGTATATAACAATGATTCGATATTTGAATGCTTTTTATTGATTAAAAAAAAGTGTTTTTATTGCCTTGGCTGGTTTGGCTCAGTAGTTAGAGCGTTGGCCCACAGACCAATGAGACGCAGGTTTGATTCCAGTCAAGGGCAGGTACTTTGGTTGTGGTTCATCCTTGGCCCTGGTTGGGGTTGTGCGGGAAGCAACCAGTAGATGAGTCTCTTTCATATTGATTTTTCTCCCTCACTCTCTCTCTCTCCCTCCCTCCTACTCTATTGAAGGTAAATGAAAAAATATCCTTGGGTGAGGATTTAAAATATATATATATATATATATGTTTTTATTGATCATTTATTTATTTAAAAAATTTGTTTTCTTTATAGATGTTAGAGAGAGAGAGAGAAAAACATCGATGATAGAGACATCGATTGGTCGCATCCCATTTGCCCCACACTGGAGATCAGGCCCACAGCCCAGGCATGTGCCCTGACTGGGAATCGAACCAGTGACTTCCTGGTGCTTGGGTTGATGCTCAACCGGCCTGGCTTTATTGAATTTTTAGAGAGAAAGGAAGGGGGAGAGAGAGAGAAACATCAATGTGAGAGAGATACATCACTCTGCTGCTTTCTGCACACACCCTACTGAGGATTGAGCAGGCAACCTGGGCACATGCCCTAAGTGGAAATTGAACCCAGGACCTCTCAGTCCATGGGACGATGCTCAATCCACTGAGCCACACCAGCCAGGCAATGACTCAATATTTATATATATTGTGAAATATCACCACAATAAGTCTAGTTAACATTCACCATACAAACCTGTTCTTTTTTGATAGACATTTGGGTTATTTCCAGTCTTTTGTAACTATTGACAATGCCGCAGTGAATACTCTAGTACACATAGGCCTTTGTGCCCAGGTGAGCACTAATGTAGGATAAATTTCTACTAGTGGAATTGCTAGGTAAAAGGTATATGCATTTAAATTCTAATAGCGTTTACCAAACTACCTTTAAAGACACAACCATTTTATAGTCCTACCAACAATGAACAAGAATGTCTTTCTCTACAATGCACATTTTTGCCAATTTGATATCTAAAAAATAATATCTCACCTTAATTCTAATCTGCCTTTCTCCTATTATGAGGTAGTTGAGTGTCTTTTCATTTGTTTAAAAACCACTTGTATTATTTTTTTGTGAACTGTGTGTTCATGACATTTGCCCACTTAATGTATTATTTCAAATTAATGTTTAACAATAGAAACACTATTTTCCCACTGTCATTTGCTCAAGAATCTCCCCAAAGGCAGGAGGCCCTTTCAGACAGGTGTTCAGGGTCCTCCACAATCACACCAATTCCCTTTCTCCAACTGCTATCGGTCTCCTTCCCTAATACCACTGTCTGTTCCCAAGGAAGGGCATGTGTACAGGCTCCTCAACATCACACACCCCTCCCACAACCCTGTTTGCTCTCTCATCTGTCCCTTCCCAAACCTGACCTGTCCCTCAGGGTCAACAGAATTCCACCTGTCTGCGGCGCCTCAAGAACTAATGACCACGCTGCCTACAGTCTCGCTTTTATGTGAGTCTCATCTTATCACCTATAGCCTATGTCCCTCAAAGGCTGGGCCTGATGGCTCCCAGAGTCCAGGCCCTCTGGGTGCTCAGTGTGCAGGGCTGTCAGTGTGGAGTGTTTCCCCCACTCATTGCATTCGGCTGCATCGTGAGTCAGGCACTGTCCCCGGTGCTGTGGATATTGCAGTGTATGAGACAGACCAAGGCCCTCCTCTCATCCGGCTGACAATTTAGTGAGGGCAGGAGGCTAATACACAACAAACACGGCAATAAAGAAACACACAAATAGGAACGTACAGTAATGGAATTGATAGTGAAGGGAGGGAGGGAAGAGTCTCCTTTGGACAGAGGGGTCAGGGGAGGGATCCCCCAGGAGCTAAGATGAGAGCAGAGACCTGAATATGAGAAGGCTCCAGCCATGAAAAGAACCTTCCAGAGCCCCCACTAGAGGTCCCGCCTGGAGGATGAGCTACAGCCCAGCCCTCGGCACCTCTTTCTGTCACTTGAGACTTGGAAGAGCCTGTGACCCCTGCAGCTTTAGGGCCGCGCGCGGTGTGTGGGGGAGAGGACCTGCACCCACCTGTTTCATACTCCAGATGCAAACTTGGGCAAATGAACTCACGCTTGACCTAGCATTAAGAAGCACTTTGTGTCATTGTTATTTCATTTAACCTACACATCAGTCCCGTGTAATATTTATTAACTTATTTTACAGAAGCAGCAGCCGAGGCTCGGAATATGGGAGTCACTTGTTTAGGTTTACAAGATTCAGAAAGAAGTAGAGTGCCCGCAAAGTTCTGTCGCAGGGATCGGGTAGGGTTTCCTGGAACATTCGGGGTGCACCCTGTTTCCGGAGTTTGCCCCCGGAGCCCCGACAGCGGCCCCCGCCCCGCCCGAGTCTGGGGCCAAGGGGCGCGCGGCGGGCTGGGGGCGGGGAAGTCGCGGGGACAAAGGCCGCGGCCACCGCTCGGGCAGGCCGGTGCGGCGGTGAGCTCCGGCGGCCGTCCGGGCACTGCGGACGCTGGGGACCTGGCTGCACGCCGCGCCCAGAGGAGCCCGCACAGCGATGGACCGCCCCGGGGTGCCGCCCGGGCCCGCTCAGGCCGAGCCCGCCGGCCCGCCGCCCGCACCGCCCCCTCCCCCGCCCCCGCTCCCTCCCTCCCGCCCCGCGGCGCCCGCGGCGGCTCCGAGCTCGGCGAACATGGCGGCGGCGGTCGGGCGGGACACTTTACCTGAGCACTGGTCCTACGGCGTGTGTCGGGACGGCCGCGTCTTCTTCATCAAGTGCGGCGGGAACGCGGGGCCGCGGGCGGGGGCGCGGGCCGGGCGGGGTGCGGAGCCCGGAGGGCGCACCCCGCGCGGCGGTGGCGCTAACAGGTGCACCTCTCTCCCCTAGTGACCGGCTCCGCTGCACGACCTGGCTGCACCCGCGCACCGGGGAGCCCGTCAACTCCGGCCACATGATCCGCTCAGGTGGGCGCCGGGTGGGCGGACGGAGGGCCGGGGGCGCGCCGGGCGGCCGGGTTTGACTAACTTTTCTCGCGGTTCCGCAGACCTACCCCGCGGCTGGGAGGAGGGCTTCACGGAGGAGGGCGCCAGCTACTTCATCGAGTGAGTGACCGGCGCGGCGCCCGCACCTGTGCCGTGGGGTGCCACCCAGTTCCCGCCCTGCGCCCGCGCCCCTTCTCCCGCGTCGGCGGAGGTGGCGGCCTGGCGCGGTGGCCGCAGATGTGTGGGGTTTTGTTTGCCCGGGTTGTGAGGCGGGCTGCTGGAGGGAGGCAGGCCGGGGTCCACTCTCCGCTGGGGTCCGGGGCGGGGGTCGGGGGTCCGGGGTCGGCCCCCTGTGGGGGCTGGGGCTGCAAACTGCGCCCTGGCCCGGGCAGTTAGGTTGGCTTCAGGCTGGTGTGAGGGGTCGGACACGCCTCCCCTTTGGGTGGGTGGCCTTTCTCTTAGGTCACATTCTCTGGGATGGTATTGGGGGGTTGGGACCGCACCCCACCCTGCCCCTCCTGCGCCTGTCTGTGGGGCAGAGATGGGGGGTGGGGAGGGGAACCGATTAGCCAATAATATTACCTCAGCGGGTGCTCAGTAGGTACCAATCACACTGCTGCCTCCACTTAGTCGAGCGGTAGCTTTTCTGCAAAAGCCGGGGAGCCTTGCGCAGAAGCCAAGTCACCCCAGCCCGGGTCTGTAGGGATGAAATCGGGGCGCCGTTCGCTAGCATAGTCTCCACCTTCCCGCCGGCTGAATCTGCCGCGTTTGTCCTCTGCCTGCTCTCCAGTGAGCTCCCTGAGGTCACAGACTGCGTCTGACCCTTTGCCTGGGTGCCTGGCACAGCGTAGGCACTCGAATGTCTGTGCCCTGAATGAATGCACTGGCCTAAGGTCTGGACAGTGCTGTGACTAATAGTGTGTAGTTTGGGGGACTGTTGAGTCAGAAATCCTTTTTTCCATCAACTTGAAAACACTGCTCGTCGGCAGTGGAGCAGCATTTTCGAAGCTCCGATGGTCCCGTAAAATCTCAGCGTCTCCTTCCTGGGTTTGAGCTCTTGCAGGATGGTTGAAATCCTAATGGATGAGATTAGTAGAAATGAGCGCTAGGGCTGTGGATGAGGTTGTGCTGTCCTGCTTCGTGTGTGAGTGAGTGAAGTTGAGGAGCTGGTTGGAACCATTAGAACCTCTTATCGTTGACTCTCTCTGGCTCATAACTGCATCCGTGGAGATTTATTATCTATCTCCTGTGTGCCACACAGACACTACAGAAGTGAATGTGGCAGCCCTGGCCCATGTGGCTCAGTTGGTTAGAGCATTGTCCCGTGCACCGAAGGGTGGTGGGTTCCATTTCCCAGCAGGCCACATGTCCAGATTGCTCTTGGATCCTAGGTGAGGGTGTGGGGGGGAGGAAAGAAGCGATGGATGTTTCTTTCTCACATAAATGTTCCCACCCCTCTCTCCCTCTCTCTCCCTCCCTCCCCCTCTCCCTTCCTCTCTCTCTAAAATCAATAAAAAAACAAAAACAGTCCTGGCCAGTTTGGCTCAGCAGTTAGAGCAACAACTGGTGTACTGAAGGGTGGTGGGTTTGATTCCCAGTCAAGGACAAGGTACCTTGGGTGGAAGTTCTGCAGGGGGGCAACCAATCGATGTATCTCTCTCATGGAAAAATATCCTGGGGTTGAGGATTAACAATGACAACAAAATATGCTCAGGCAAGGATTAAAAAAATTAGTGAATGAAGCAAAGTCCTGATGCTCATGGAGCTTGCAATCTATTGGAGGGAGAGGAGGGAACAGAAAATAAGTAAAGTAAATAAACAATAATATCAGCTCGTGAATGGTAGCTACTATACAGTAAGTTAAAGTAAGGTGATATCAAGTGACTGAGTGGCTTGGTTGGATGGGAGATTGATGGTGGTGTTTCTGAATAGTTGACATTTAAGGTAAAATATGAATGACAAAAAGTATCCATCCTTGTGTTGAGGAGGTGGCAAGGCATTTCTGGAAGAGGGAACAGCCAGTGCAATGGCTTTAGGCAAGAAAAAACTTCAAGGATCAGAGAGGCCGGTGTGGCTGGAATGTGGTGAACAAGGGAGACAGTGGCGTGAGAAGCCCTTACAGATAGGAGAGAGCTAAATGGTGTAAGGCTTTGAGAGCCACGGTTAGAAGTTCTTACACTTTATTCTGAGTCCAGTGAGTTGTCATTGCAGGATTTTAAACAGGGAGCCACAATGTGATTTGCATTTTTAGAAAGATCACCCTACCTGCTGTAGAGTGGGCTGTGGGTGGGAACTGTGGTGGGCAGGATAGCAGCGGTGGCTGCTGCTGTAGTCCAGGCAGGAGTGGATGATGGCCTGACTGGGGCTGGTAGCCCTGGAGATGATGAGGAGTGGTCAGATTTGGGCTTGATGATTTGGGTGCATTCTGTGAGAGAAAGAGAAGAGTCAAAGATGACTCCCAGAGGCTTGAGCACCTGGATGGATGGCGTTCACATCATTGAAATGGGAAGGCTGGGGGAGGCGCAGACTTGGGGTGGGGTGGAGTGTGAGATCTTGTTTTGCCCTGTTACATTTGAGATGTGAACATATCCACTAGTCAGATGTACACATCTGAAGGTAAAGGAGAAGGAGGACTGAAGAGATACATTTGGGTATTATAGGTGTTATTCAAGGCAACAGGATTAGATGAAATCACCTAGGAGGAGAGTGCAGACAGGAAAAAGAAGGTGCCCCAAGCCTTGTCACAGAGCAGCATTTAGAGGCTGGGAAAAGAGGTGGATCCGGCAAAGGAGAGTGAGGACTGAGAAGGTAGGAGAAAACTAGGAGAATGAGGGCTCCCAGAAACGTAAAGAACAAAACCTGGCAGGAGTGGATGGGAGAGAAAACATGGAGTAAAAAAATGGAGTCAGTTAGTTTGGGTGAATCTTTCAGGCAGTTTTGTTACAAAGTAGAGTTGAGAAATTAGCTGAAAACTGGAGAGGATGTGGGTTTGAGGGAGAGATTGTAGGAGATTGTAGAGCATGGTTTGTTCTGATGGGAATGATCCAGTAGAGAGGGAGAAATAGATGATGCAGGAAGGAGATGAGACAGTTGCTGAAGCAGTATTTCTGATAAGTGAGAAGGAAGGGACGCAGGGCATTTCATCCATTGACAGAAGGAAGGGCTGCGGGTGCCTGAGCTGATGTAAAGAGTTTGATAGAGGTATCCATCTCTCCTGTTTATGGTTTCTGTCTTTTCCATGCATTTCTAGGCAAAATCTTGAGCAGAGAGATCTGAGGGGTGTGTAGGATCTTAAGCCATTGTCACAGCTCCTGCCCTTCATCTCTTTTGCTGCCTCTTCTGTGGCAACTCTGTCAAATCCCTCATGATTATCCTTCAGCAGGCCCTGGTAGCCTGCCTATGGGGCCTTGGCGGAGTCCTTCCAGGCAAAGGGGAAAGCAGAGACCCTGTGGCAGCACACTGTATTTTCTTCCTCGTTCCGTGATGCGTTCTTAAAGACTTAAAGATTTGGGAGTAATTATTCTCCTTTTCCCCACTTAAACAATGTTTTGCTTCAGTCTGCTTTCTCCGATTTGCCATGAGCATTTCTGAATTTCCGATTTTTTGCTGGGGTGGTTCTCTAACATGGCTCATTCAGGAGGACAAAGCATCGGCACAACTGACTATTGTCCCCAGTGGGTCCTTGCCTGGAAAGTTGTGTGAGGCGCTCAGGGTGCATCAGCTGCTCCTGATAGTCAGCAGATGTTTGAATACTCTCCAGAATCCATTTCTTGAAGAACACCTTGGGCTAAGACAGGTGGATTTCAATTTTGGTTTCTGCACTTTGCGTTCAACTGTGGATTAACTAGGGACAAAATATACGAGGAGTCTACTCCTGGTTCTTTTAATTCTAGACTAGGTAATGCTGACACCCCCTCTAAGAAGACTTGTACTCCAAGACGTCTCTCCTTTCCCATCAGTCCCTTAGCTCAGGTAGCAGGATGTAAGAGTAACTGTGATAACAGTGCCATTCCCCGCAGCAGTGATTATAGTAGTAGCAGTAATGTAAGAGCTTCATCTTTTTGAGTCCTTGAAAAACACCAGGAGCTGTTTTATAACTATTGTCTGATTTAAATCTTACAACAACTCGAAGTAGGAACTGTTTACTAGTTCCATTTACCTGTGTGGAAACGTGTAATAATCCCAGTCATTCCAACAGCAAAGGCGGTTGGCTTTTTCTGGTACCTTTTCATACTTGATCCTTACAACAGCCCCTGAAGCTGCAGAGTAGAGTTATCCTGTTCTTTAGATGATGACATTCAGGTCCATGAAGATTCAGTGATTTGGTTGAAGTGTCAGAGCTGGGACTAGAACTGTGTGTCTTTAGTCTCTAATATGGTAACCATGGTAGCCATGGTGACTTCTACCCCTGGTCACAGGTGAGCCCCATGCCATGGGCCATTGCCCAAGACTCACGGGGCTAGACCTCTTTTTGTTTTTTGCTGGGGACTGAAGCTCCTTGGAAGGGCAGCAGCCCTTGGTCTCATATGTTGATTGGTGATGGCGCTTGTCTGATTAGTAAGAAATGGACGGCATTATTACTACTTAGTGAAACAGTGGGGCGGACACAGCATTTGTAAACATGAGGTCCATGAGGGAGTTCTTGATGGGGCCACAGGAACTAGAGTGTTCACTGGGCTGGTCTTCAGGGGTTTTGTGGAAAAGGAGGATAAACGGCAGAGAGGAAGGGTTCTGGCTGCCCTGCCTGTGTTAATGTTCTCCTTGAAGCCAGAACCCTGTTCCCCCCTCTGAGACTGGAGCCCATGCCAGCACTGAGTAGCACTTGGTGTTTATTGAAGCAGCAGTGTTTAAGGGACAAAGAGAGTTTAGTAGGTAGTCCAGGTCTTGGAAAACTTCTTATTGGGGAGGAGGTCAGGGTGGGGGGAAGACCAGGCAAGGTAAAAGAAGCAAAGTAGTTGGGAACAGTGCCCGTCAAGGCTGGTGCCTAGATCCCAGGCTTCTCCTATATAGTTTCTTGCTGTCAAGCATGGCACACAAAGCAGGAACCTGGTCTCAGGCTTCTTAACCTCACGACCTCATGTTCCATATCTGATGGGACGTCTGTTGGTCATTGGACCTGG